TTACGCAAATGTACCGTTTAATGCTTATCAAATAAAAGGCAATCACTGTATTAAAATACATTTTGGTACGAGTACGAAAAGAGCGTCGGGTACTTCTAACATCGATCTACCAGTCCACAAGTGCACGCGATCCAAAGAAATCTTGTCTAATCCCTTATCCATCTCATTCACCCCAAGTCACTCCCCGCTGTTGTCGAATCGGCAAAAAACCGAACCTCTGTTAATTTTGACTAACATTTAGCGTTCACGATGTCTTTCAACGGGATCATAGCGGTACGTTAATTATTACTGTATCTGAACTGATAACATGTTTTACCGATGCACCTCTTTTTCCTGTTGGTCCGTTCCAAAAATTTGGATAGTTAAACGCATCGCGCCTCCCATGACAACTTCATCAACTGCTCATTGGCCCGTTCGATGTCGTGAGTCGCTGACGTCAGGTTGAAATCGGATAGACGATTGTAGACTCCGGAGCTATTATATACAATATAGTGTATATAATATAGAATTACACGAGGCACTATATCATGTATTTATTACCAATTTATTCTTAGCTCATATCAACGTGCAGTTTTGAGATGTGGGTAGCTACAAACATTGTAGGCTGGTTGAGTCAAGCTGATGGGTACGTCTGTTTCTCAAGAAATAAATTGCTCGTTGCAAACTTTTCAAAAATCTTCAAAATCAAAAAATTTCAGATCGCATATGAATGCGGTATTTATCATAGTTCCCATCATCTCACCTATGGTGAGTCGTGGGATAAATCGTACATATCGATTCTGTGTTCTGAGCTCAAACCCAAATTCCCTCTTGTTTTAGCGGTTTGCCCATTGTGGATTTGTTGTAGTCCTTAAGAACGCATGAATTTAATGATATTGAGTTTTTTAAAGCGTGCATAACTGATATGTTGTAACATCATTTGTAAGCAATAGGCTTGACTTAAAGCATCCTTCCTGCTCCTACAAAAAGTTTACAATGTCGCGGCTGCTCCTGGTGGTAGGAGTTTTCCACGTTTTGACAGTACTAGGAGCCCAACAACTTCAGCAATACTTAATGTGTTTCGTTTTGGTATAGATTAATAGGCAATAGAGTTCGCAGAATAACAGCTTTCAACTTGCTATCTTGGCCACGTTGTCAAGCTTTCATGACTTCCGTCCTTGATGCATGGACATTTAATGCGTTTTCTTTTACCACCGCATCTATGTATGATAGTTCCTATGCATACCTGTTATTTTTTGTTTTTCGACAACCCGTCCTCGTTTTGGACGGACAGCAACGGAGATACGAAACTATCCTGCTTGAATCCCGATGTTTTTCTAATTTGCAATTTCCTATTCTAATGTTATCGTTTTTTTCTTTGATGCTCTTAGCATATTTTTAATAAGCTTTGTACTTATTAGAAAATTAAATAGTTTCTATTTAATTCAAAATTTTCGAGAATCTTGACAAAATCTTATTGAAATAATTCCTTTAAAAACCTTCATGGCATCGGATGCGACTCATAAGGCCACTCAATACTTTGTACGAGTTCTCGGTGTATTTTTTGCATGATGTAATGCCGTATTATTGTTCGCTTCTCTGCAATAAACAGTGTGTAGGACTCAAATGGTTTGAAGAAATGCTTTTTGAAATGTATACTTTTATAGTGTACAATACGCTAATGAGGTCTTTTACCCTTGTAAGATACACATCTCCTCTAATTTCCTGGTGTACGTCTTGAAACAATAGCTTTGGGTAGTGTTTCTGCCACAGTCGGTATCATTTGATGGCCAATATTTGGGCTGAAGTGCCTCATAGCTTCCGGTTCTGGAGCGCGAAAACCAAAACAAACTTGAGACCTTTAGAAGAAATAAGATATTTATCGCAGAAAACATCCATCGAGAATATAAAGCTAGAACAGTTGTCAACATCAGTTTAACAGTTTCCAATGCTAGGTTATTAAGCGGCGCTGCTGAAACGCGGGATATGGTGACGCAGTACGCACAAGTACAAACAATAATGCAAAAATGTTAACCGTTCTGGCTTTGGCAATAGTAGAACAAGCGAGTATAGATGTCAGATAGATTTCTAGTTGTCCTAGTAGTCACCTTTGTTGTGGTGTGTTTCGTGGTTCGTATAGTTACATGACGTTTATGTTATAACCCATCTTCGCATAACTGTCATTGCAGAAGTGGTCGAAACATGAATAGCGTAAATTGGAGTGATTTCGGCATAAATTCCTCATTGTTTCTCTTTCAGTTTTAAATGGTGCCGTTTTGCCTGTAAAAAAAAAAGCTGCCTGAAAAAAATCTTAACCATATGCGTAAGATGCGCCGAGCAAGGTATTTTATATCATTCAAGAAAAATGGAATGCACTGGAGATAAATTATCAAATAGATAAAAGTTTACGCTTCAACTTGATTAACGAGAAATATACACTTTCGACACATTTGAAAATTAACACCTGCCAGACTTTTATGCGCTCCTCAATGTAGCCTGTATGCACGTTGATTGTTTTTTCTTTGTCTCTCAAGGCCTTTCCTTAGACGCACAATGCCTTCTCTGTAACACATCCCTCTGGCCCACTCGTCCTTAGACTTCATCATTTGCGCAACGATGCTTGTGATATTCAGTTACCGTCCTCGGTTCCACGCGCACGGTATCTCTTTGGGCTGCGTCCAATTCTTGGCATTTCTCTGAGATGTGTGCCATATTCTTTGTATGCCCTGAGTACCATAGAACACAGGTATTTGACAGACACCTTCATAACACGCACTGTCTATTTTAAAATTGCTTATATCTAGAGAGAACCTGCGTGAAGTATCATGAAACCACCCCAAAGGGGTCTGTCATATCATTTTGCCAAATCAAGGATCAGCGTTTTAGCCCACTCAGCCCGTATATGCCTTTTACGATCGGGGATTCGGTTGACCCAGTCTTTACTCCATTTGTTTAGAGTAGAGGTCTTTGGCGAAGAAAGGTTCCACTTTTCATCCGATGCTCTTTCCGCTCGTTCGTGTCTCAGCAGATTCCATGGTATCATACTTGCAACTGCGAATACCGCTTCCGCCGAAATTGTCCTACAAGCTCTAGCCACCAGGATAACGATTGCTTTTAAGCCTATAGTAGTGTGTGTGCAAAGGCTCTGTTTATCCATACGACGCAGGCATAACGCGCCATATATTATGTTACTGTAGCCACCAATCTTATCGTATATTTTTTACACCCTTCAACTTGCGGTAGAGGTTTTGCGACCACTCGTAGCTCCTGATTGCAACCCACTGGCTCTACTAGAACTAACAAAAATCTGTCTCTCAGCAGTTGAAATAACTACAGAAAAACAGATGTGATATACAGTTATATGTATCTTGATAAAGTGATATTGAATGTGAAATTTTAGACTAACAATAATTTTACGAAATAAATATATTAGTACGAGATTTTCACTTGCAACCGTGATTTCTGCCTATCCAGCTTCTCTAGCTTATGCCCAACTTAGCGTGCAGGCAGCTAAAGCCGAGGTTGCGTGCACTGTCCGAATTTTTCTCGCCGATCTTGACACATACTGCATTTGCTTATTAAATCGTTCTTGACAATAAACGAATTTGTACTGTAGTGCAACAAAGCATATAAACCGAAAGGCAAAAAGTCTTTAAACCTTTTGGCTTAATGTTAACAACTTCCTATGTGCATTCAATGTGATTATGTAACCAGGGGCTACTTTATGGGCCCCCTCATAGAGGTCTGTGTGTTCCAATCACGAAAAAAGTTTATTAGATTGAGGATTATGTATTTAAAAAATGGCAAACTAATCAATTTGGGCTGACAATAGTCTGTAGCTATAAGAATTAGATTTAGCCCTTTAAGGTAACGAGTTTTATAATATGGGCAAATTGTGTTTATATCCACTTACTCGGAAAACAGACATTGAGGCACCTCTAGTTTAGCATATCGTTCATTTTCTTATCGAAATAGAGATGTTTACGAGTAGAAATATATAGAAAAACACGTAACACTGTGTTCGCATATGAACAATAATGCATGAGTCATTAGACAAAGATATACTTTTGGAAACCTTCGGAAAGGAGATATAAGAATCCTTGTACGATTATTGCTAGTTTATTCGGTGCTATCCAATACTTAGCAAAAAATAGAGGAAATGCTAAAGCAAGCTTCACTTCTGATGAGTAATATTATTGCGACACTTTCTCGATTTCTTGGGAAAATTCGGGAAGTAGTTGATTGTTAGCGGTTGACTTTATAGCAGATGCTCTAATTAAAGACTGTTAACGGCACGACATGCTTTCGAACGACATAAGGAGTAATGCTTCCGAGACCTCAGATGTTGACCTGCGCGTGTCCACAGTCACACAAAATAATTTTATATGGCTCAACCATCTTACACGATGATCTATCTTCACTTGATGATTGCCCAGTTTGGTTCGTTTTAGAAAGACAAATAGGGAGCTTTTAGTACAAATCTTTTTTTTTGATGAAAAATTCTTTTACTGAGATGATAGCCTTCAATAGCCGAAAATACAGGATATTTTTGAAGACCTGTATCACCTTTTCAATTGGTATATACATCAATGCTCCGTGTATAAGCATACCAACATCTGTTCTGAAAGTGCAAATAATGATGAAGATAAATAAACCTTTTTCTTAAATAAATTAAGTGACTATGCACTTGGTATTTATAGGATTGCCTCTCTATCCGAACCAGCCGAACGGCCATAGCTATTCGCTGGGTCGATTATTGAAATATAAGACAAAAGCCGTTCTGAATGCAAAAACCATTTACAATTCTATTGAATAAATAACAATTGACTGGAAAGTGTCAAAGCAAACCGGTGGCTAGTATGTACAACAATACCTGTTCGATCGGATGAATCAGACTTTTGCGAAAAAGAAAAAAAAACACCTTATATTTTCGTGGCCTCGTCGAAAGTTGAAATGGCGAAAGAATAATATACTTCGCGTAAGTGTAAACTTACATTACTTTGTTGCTTTTAACGAAACAGGTGCGCGCTATTCGATAAAGCGAACTCGACCCATTCCAACGCAGTTGGCTTGGAAGATGAATTGCCGATAGGTGACAACTTTATTCCTAACCGGGAGCTGGAGTACTGATTGGTGCCTACCAGATACAGGCACAAGCAACACAGACATGTGAAACTTACGCTTGGGAACGTTTTTCATAAGTTTGACGTTCGTAAGTTTACGATTATTTTGCGTCATTATCCCTGTGGACAACTCTAGTTTTGCTTCGAAGGCAAAATTCTTTTTGGAGTTGATAGTAGTCTATGCAATGAGGTTAATCTCGTCTGAGGTGCCTATTTACATTAGTGAGTGAAGCAGCTTCTAAACAATGTCAGCCAGGTTAAGAATCAGGATGAAAGTGATTGTTTTTATCGTGATATCCTTTCTGGCCTGGGTGGTTGTTTTCTCCGTAGGGGTGGAAAACGTGTTTCTTTATTAGTGCGTATTTCTTACGAACCCTACGGTACTATTTTTCACATCAGCAAACTTAGTTGTTTATCTACGCAGTAACCTAATTCTACTTTGCCGACTTTGTCTATTAAAATCAGATAGATAGAGGTACACGTCCGTAACAATTGCGTACTTCGAACATATATGAATAAAGAAACTCACAATGCGGACAATACTTCAACGAAAAACACATGACCTGCAACTTCAAATCTATATTGAGGAGTGCTACAGATTAATCAATCATTACGTTAATATATAGAAGGAACGCTATCAAAGGAAGTCGAGGTAGGAACCGTAGAAATCTACCGATAGCTATAGTTATGGATCTTTAAACGAAGGTGCGTTCTTTAAACGACAGATTACCTGAACGCAGCAGGCAGACCTGAACGGCGGCCTGGATGCTACCACGGAGAAGGTCGTCTGTGTATAGATATCAAAGACTTCTAAAGAGCTAGCAGTATAACAGAAAACTACAGAGATTAGCCAAGCTATCGTATCATTAATGTAAAATTCTGCTTCTCTACGGATAGTTGTCTTAATAAATTTTATTTGACGAATAATCATATCGATAACTATTAATTACTCCCCTAGGACTCAATAAAAATACTTGCGACATTTTGATAACTTTCAGACCTGAATATCAATCGATGTTCGATCTATTAGTGGATTAATAAGAAGGTAAATTACATTGAAACAGCTTTATTTACAACGCCACTTGTTCAGTCACATTTATAAAAGAAGGGTTTTCATAATAAAATATCAAATCGTGTTGCTTTATATTTATAGTTTCATCTTATCTATAATGATTAAAGTGATCTATTCTCTATTTTGTGACTTCGTATATATATATATATATATATATATAAATCTATTTTTCTACAATTACAAGTGTGAGGCAAAAACGGTTTGAAATATAAGTCAGCATGGCCATATGACCACGAATCTTCTAAAGTGAGGTCACCTTATAGGGGCAGGGTACTCGCTACTAAAACCATGATCCTTTTTTTTAATATCAAACTAGATTTTTTTATATCACATACACCTCTGCTCTATTATTATGACTCGTTTCCTATCAAATATTATCATGTAAAGGCTGGGTTCTGTAACCTAGCGTTCAGATAGTTAAAAAATAATTCGTAATTTTATGTCAGCAAATATGCGTTTTCCTGACGCTTATGTGCTCATCCTTTCGTAGCGACAGCTTCAGATAATAGCTCCAGATAGATTTGGTATACAATAGAGCAAGTATCGACTACTGTGACGTTGGGTACAAAGGGTTAATTCCTTCTTCGTACGAAAAAGGCCAAGACGAAAGTTCGGTCGCCAAAGGCACTATTGTTACGTAACTATGTTCGGTCTTCAATCACCTGGCAACAGCAAGACACTACCCAACAAACTCACTTCCAACAGGGTGGCATATAATCCCTATACGATTCAGCTTAATCGAGCTCGGTGATAAATTTTATAGTACCCTTTCGAGTACCCAGACCATCTTGGATGAAGACCTGACGACGTTTTATGTTGAACCCTCATCTTCGTTATTTATGCTGACGTAGCATCTAACGGCGGAGCACTTGAAATACTGTATTCGTAGAACATATACACACAACTTATTTATCACTAGCCATATACAGTTTGTTCAGTTTCGGTTAAATGCATTTATTTATAGTACGATCGACGGTATCAGACCATCAGGCTTGAGCCTACTCGAAGCTTTCCCTACACCTAGACTTTCCCATGATAAATACTTGAAATAATTAGTGACTAGTTACGGCTTAATCGCTAACTCAGCACAGCGCTGATTGTATATTGGCAAAAGTACAAGTTGATTACGTCTCGCTTAAACCTTATATCTCATTTTCAATTTTTTGCCGCGGCTGGCGCTTGATTTTGAAAACTGAATCCGGCACTGGCTCTGTTTCCCCTGTTAGTACCAGCTAGTAGAACTTCCGCAGAGCTCGGTCGTCGTGAGCAAGAGGTCCCCCTGTACGCAACTACCACAGAGGGTCTTTTCAGAGAATCTCAGCCCTTCTCGTCATGAGTCGAACTGACGGACCGGGTCGACCCTTCTGAATTCAGAAGGGATGATTCGACCCCATTTTGAAAACAAGACCGCAGGGAACCAACGAGGACACGAGTGTAAAGCTCAGCGAATCTTTCGTTAGGCAGCAGCTAAAGGCGAATATACACTGGTAGATCACTGCGCCACAGAACAACGAAAATCGACAGATGGCTCAAACAAAAAGCTCTAATAATTTCGCTACTATCTACGGGCGGCTTCTTGTTCACGTAAGTAAGTGTGATTCGTTGACAGTAATGGTAGATATATGGAAAGCGGATCTTGCATGATTGTGTCTCTAAAATGGGGCAAAAGTATGACAATTTGACCTCAGCGTAAGCTTTACGAAAAGTTGAAAGACAAAATAGACTTGCAAGCTATGACAAACGAGCATATAATAGATGTATATAAATTTAGTGTCATTTCAGAGGCAATATGCAGTGCACCTTCTTCTGCCCCTTGTTTTTTTATGTGCGAGGAATACACAAAATAATATTTGTGTCGCGCTGTTGAATACGATATTCAAGTAAGGCTGTATTTGATGCACAGTAGATGGAAGAGGAAATAATGCTATGTCCTTAGTATGTGTCGCAACAGTGCCACCGTTAAGCAAAAAAAAAATGAGAAACAAGCCGAGAAAAGTAACGGAGAAAATGACAAGATACATTTCATTGGAAACAATTGAATTCTAATTTTTTGGCAAGATAGATAGATAGGAACTTTTCCTTCTTTCTGCCAACTTTGAAAATATGAAATATATTGCCTGCTTGCAAAAACCGTATCGAGAACGTGCTTCATAGTCAATAATAGAATGATATTACAAAAACTGGTCCATTTAATTTCACATCATCGAGTTCGACGGAAGGCTTCCCCTCTGAGCATGATCAAATTTTTCCAAAAAAATATTCAAATTTTACATATTCCAAAAAGCAGTAGGCTTCTGTGAAGGTAAATGACGGTGGCGCTTACGCTCATTGAAAGCTCCTAGCACGGCCTTATGTGCAACAGACTTCGTTAACTTACAGGGTGCTTACGTATACTTACATATACTACTCAACACAATGTCAAGCTATAAGATAGGGTTGTGCAATTGATACTGCCCGCACGAAGACGTTTTCGGTGAATTCATAACACGCTAAAAGGCAAGTAATTTAACTGTGTGCATAAGGTACCTCCATCAGGCGGCGAAACTGGCCCTAGTGTACGGAGCGCGCATTTAAATCTGTCACTTGAAATGTTTTTTACCAAGGCCCAACTTAGGACGGGGCCCTATGATCGTACTTCCGCCGCGATTCAATCTAGTCGTGACGTTCATCCCTAACTTCAGCATTGTAACAGGATTTCGGGTTGGAGATAGCCTCCTGCTTTTATAGAAAAGTACTTGTAAGTTATGCAGGCAGAACCAGAGGTTTCAGCGACAGTGAGCCGACCCCGGTATCTGGAGCTTTGAGCCATACTTGATTACAAGGTTTTCTCCACAAGTACTGAAAAGTTTACTAGCAAATTCTCGTGCTCTCGCCGTTTCGAGAGGGCTCATATAGTTGTTTTCCCTGCACTGCGTTATTCGTTGCATCGAGAGACTTTCCGTTCCTGGAAACTTCGTTCGCTAAGGTGAACCTCTTTAGCTATGGCTATTTGTGCTAAATGAAGAGTATCGATGGTGCGGGAATGCGGCGGTACGACCTCGTCATTTAATTTCGCCGTCAGTTCTAGGTTTTCGCGCTTTATAATTCGAGGTGTGCCCGGAATGTTCAAATGTGTATGCATTTATTTGAGGGCCTGTCTAACTATGTTAAGGTCACAGATAACGACCAAACGAAGAGTTACTATATAACACTTGGTTTTTATATCAACGTGTGATACAGTTTTAATATTTGTTTCAATTTTGCGGTCAAGGTTTCACAGGAGAATCAATTATAGAAATCGTAGCTGGTTTAGAATAATAAACCCGACGAATCTAATCCGCATCATTTTATCTTTGAGATGGAAGGATTTTTAATATTTCTTTGAAGTAATATAGTTATCAGACCGATCCAAAATCATCATCATCAAAGTCGGCCTTCATGAGTCGACAAAAAAAAAAACAGCTATGATTCGATTATTACATAAAAGCGATGGTTAATGGGCGCGAACATTTGATAGGCTGTCACTTCGCGTGATGAAGGTGAGAGCTTGCGTGAAATTCGAGTTGAGGAATGCTCGAAGATGCGTTGTTTGTCTTCGGCAGAGCCATCCTTAACTAAAGTCAAATCCTTTGATCAAGTGATTTGGCTGTACGATAGAGAACATGATGATTGACAATCTAGCTTTAATAACGATGCATTTCTGCTCAAGGTAAAAGAAATATTGCTGTTTCTTTATTGAATCGTTTGTCTTTGAGCAATCATTTTAATAAAATTACTCCATCAGAATGGTCAGATGATGCGCAAGGTAGCAAATAGAAGGAATATTCCAGAGGAACGGCTTAACCGACCTGTGGCATCTTGAATAAAGGCTCATTCTATCATCAATAGATTGCTACCGGTGTTACAGGTTGTCTTAAGCCCATTCTTAGACCTA